CCCAGTTATCATTAACCGCATTGGCCCTATTCCGCTGTCAGAACATGAAATCTAGTGAGCTGACTACTACGTAGACAGCCTTTTAAGGCATCAATCATAGTTGTGCTCCCAATGTAAATTCTGTTTAAAAAGGCAAATGTCTTTACACACAGCATGGCACTAAAATAATACAATAAACATTAACTAAATATAAAATGTACAAAAAAAAATAAGAATAAATAAAACTATTTAAGTAATCATATGTGACGTGAGACTTCTGTAAATGTCCTTGTACTTTTTTTAAACAATGATTATACCGTAAGTAATCACAAATTTGACCATTTTAATTTTACAGTTAAACATATAAAAACTTTTACAGTGTTGTGGTGAGCTTAGTGAACATTTGTTACTTGAAGCCTGTATATAATGCATTATAAAATGTATTCCTAATGCATTAATTATATCTTTTAATGCACCATAAAATGTGTTATGGTATAATACATTGTAATACTTCAGTTTTACACCTTTAGAAAGTACACACAACGAACAACCAATTTTATGTGTAGCAAGGAATCTGCAAATATTCTGATGTATTTTAACTTTTGAACTTTGTTTACAATTATTTATGATGCATTATGAATGCCTTTATAATGTATTATACAAAGTATTAGCAAAAAAAAGTCCTCGAAAATGAGTGACTCTTGTACTTTGGATTTTATTTATTCAATTCTGTGAAACTCAGATGAAAAAAAGATTTATATTCTACCCAATTATTGGACCATTTTACCCAGTTTTGTGTGTTTTGCTTCATGCATAGTAGCACATTATTAGCTTAGCAGCATGTTTCTTCCTATGTAGAGTGTTGCAAATCAGTAACTTGCTAGTAAGGTAGCTCACTACATTTTGAGATGGTTAATTAAGGAATTCATTTTATTTTATTATTATTATTTTTTGTTCCAATAACAAATAACAGTTAAAGCAATAGTTCACCCAGAAGTTACAATTTGCTGACAATTTACTGAAATTTTGTATTACATCACTTGCTCACCAATGAATCCTCTGCAGTGAATGGGTGCCGTCAGAATGAGAGTCCAAACTGCTGATAAAAACATCACAATAATCTTCAAGTACCCCACATGACTTCAGTCCATCAATCAATGTCTTGTGAAGTCATAATAATGCTTCCTCCAGTGAAAAAGTCCATCCCCCGTTGTCCTCTCATCAAAATCCACTGTTTTTGTCTTGCAAACGAATCTGTGCATATTTCTCTCCTGATTCAGACTAGACGACTTTTTCACTGGAGAAAGCAATATTATAAGCTGTAGAGGACTTACATTTTAGCTGGTAGCAACAGTTTGATGTTAAAAGCGTCTTGATGGATTTGTCACAAACACTCAGATTTTTGCTTCACTGGATTACTTGTGGATTACTTGTAATGTTTTTATCAGCTGTTTTGACTCATTCTGACGGCACCCATTCATTGCAGAGGATCCATTGGTGAGCAAGTGATGCAATGCTGCATTTCTCCAAATCTGTTCTGATGGAGAAACAAACTCATCTTGGATGACTTGAGGGTGAGCACATTTTCAGCAAGTTTTCAAACTTTGTGAAAAATGTTGACTTGAGACTTCAGACAAAATGTAGTGAGGAGCTGATGTGAAGAGCTCTTGCTGCATGACCAGCGGCCGGGTGCTTTTCACACCAGCTGAGCGACCCGTCAGCATCTGGGTCTGATCGCAGCATGCTCGTGTTTTGATGCACCTCATACAAACATTGCGCCGCAGGTAGTAAAACACTGTGTGTGTGTGTGTGTGTGTGTGCGCGTTTAATACTGGAATGTCGGGAATTCCTTTGGCTCAGTGAGAATAGAGCAGGAAAAGGAAGCTGTCCGTGCATCATGCTTAAGTTATTTTTGCCCGGTGAGAGCAAGAGGTCATAGTGTATGGGGAAAAGAGGAATTTTGTAGCGCACTTCATCTTGTTAGCCCTCTGAAGCCCTTTTATGAACTCGTATGGGCCTCTGCTCGTCCCTGATGACATACAGGGCTTTCAGTTGTGGAAAAAATACTGTCACAAGCCAGAAAAAGAGTTTTGGCACTTGCTTTGACAAGCAATAATGTTTTGTTTTGTGTTTCCTCTTGTTATGATAGTTTTGTTCTCCCTGTGTAGATTCGCCTTTAGATAACTTTTCAGTGTTTTCCTTGCCTTAAAAGTCTGGCAGAGATACAACTATTTGAAAATCTGGAATCTGAGAAAATCGCTTTTAATAACTGTCACCGTCCCACCTGTGGGATGCCTGGCGCTCTTTTTTGTTGTTGTTGTTGTTGTCCTTTTTCTCTATCAAATCTTTTAGTAACCATCATAAAGTATATATCATTTGAAAGCTTAGAAGCCCAAGATTCATCTGGAAACCATTTTGAAATCGGACATTGCGTTACCATAGAAATGGTACTTTAAAATCTTTTGGCGGTCTCCTCCCCCTTAGTGGGCAGTGTCAAGTGTCATATTACAAAATGCCTTAACGGTCTTTTAGAATCAAACCTTTTAAGGCGGGTGTAAACGGTGTGATTCTGAAGGTCGGAACATCGTGAGCTCTGGCACATGTCACGATTGAGTTTATCAGAAAATCGTACGGAGGCAGTCACACACGACACGAATTTACTACGATTTTACAAACTCTGACGTAAGCATTACGTTTCGCGCCATTCATAAAAATATGGATTCTGAGGACGAAATTGTTTTCTTTGTGGCAGGCGGCTTGTGACGTCCAAAAAAAAAAACGAAGACAAAGGACATGGCAAAGAGAATGGCTGAAAAGCAGAGAAAAGCATGGACTTTCTGTTCTTCATAAAGAACTCGAGGGAGTAGGCCATTTCTGAATTTCTGCTTGTTTTGCCAGAAATAAAACAGGCATATTCATTCATAAAGCTGAACGGCAAATTTGGCACATTCGGAATAACAAATAAAAAATAGAACTGTATAATTCAACTAAAATTATTATAGACTATATGGTTTTTGTCATCTTCAGATGGATCGCCAAATCGTCTCGTTCAACCGCACATACGCCACGAATTTAAACCGACAGCATCCGATTTTTTTTGACATGTTTGAAAATTATCGGGAGGACGGGAGGTGCTCATAACGTCTCGGATCGGCCCGTAATTCTTCTCACACGGTACGAGCCGCGACCATGCGAGCATCTGCGATTTTCTCCCGAGAGAAAAAAATTGCGTGCGAGCTCGTACGACAGCAAAAATTGCACCGTGTCCGCCCGCCTTTAATAATCTTGACAAAAAACATATCACTGGAAAGGTCTGAGTCTCAGGATTCCATATTTGGTATTTTGAGATAGAAGTAATATTGACAGATAAATCTAGACATTTGTGACAGAAAAATGCATTAACATTTTTTTAATGGAGTTGACAGTTAAGGGGTTAAAGTTGTCCAAATGAAGTTCTTAGCAATGCATATTACTAATCAAAACTGAAGTTTTAATATATTTACGGTAGGAAATTTACAAAATATCTTCATGGAACATGATCTTTACTTAATATTCTAATGATTTTTGGCATAAAAGAAAAATCAGTAATTTTGACCCATACAATGTATTTTTGGCTATTGCTACAAATATACCCCAGCGACTTAAGACTGGTTTTGTGCTCCAGGGTCACATATTAGGATGCAATCAAATGTTGATGAAAGAGATGAGTTTTCAGCTGTCGCTTGAAAATTGTCAGGGATTCAGCATATATGTAGTAGTACTAATAATAGTAATAATAATAGGAGTATAATCATTTTTATTATATTTATAATTCATTATGATAATTTGAATGTTCATTATATGAATAAATTAATACTACTAATTCTACTTATACAACTACTAAAACTAATTAATAATAATCAATAAATTAACATTATTACTACAACAACTAATTTTTACTTATTTAATTACGTAGTAGAAGTAGTAGTAGTAGTAGTAGTTATTATAAGGAACATTTAAATTACTACTACTGCTACACTACTACTAATAAATTGTTATTATAAAGATTTGAATTGTTGTTGTTGTTGTTATTATCACTATTATTAATTTATTGTCATTATTATCAGTAGCACTAATTTTATTTATTTATTTAGTATTATTATGAACATTTAAATTACTACTGCTAATAATAATACTATTAGTAATAATAATTATTAGCAATAATAAGAATTTATTAATATTATGAACATTTATAAATACATACACACACATAAATGTATTATTATCATTATTATTATGAAAATGTGATTTGTTATTATTAGTAGTAGCAGTAGTAGTAATTCATTGATATGAACATTTGAATTATTTTTATTACTACTACTACTACTACTGATAATAATAATAACTTTTTTATGAACATTTGAATTATTATTATTAGTAGTAGTAGTAGTAGTTTTAAATGTTTATAATATCAATATTGTTCACAAATGTTCATAATATCAATATTATTATTATTATTGTTATTAATAATTTTATAATAGGTGGACAAATTAGTTGATACTGGAAAGATTTGACCCTCTAACTCTAGCACCCTCTATTCTAATTATATTCTTTATAAAAAAATTAAAAAAACATAATAATAATTAAAAAAAACATTTGCCCCTTTTAGTCTTGCACTCTATTTATTTACTAACTGCTTATTTTCTTTAAAAAAAAAAAAACTAACACTAGCTTCTCAGGGGGGGGGAGTCGTGGCCTAATGGTTAGAGAGTCGGACTCATAACCCAAAGGTTGCGGGTTCGAGTCTCGTACCGGCAGGGATTGTAGGTAGGTGGGGGGAGTGAATGTACAGCACTCTCTTCCACCTTCAATACCACGACTGAGGTGCCCTTGAGCAAGGCACCGAACCCCCAACTGCTCCCTGGGCGCCGCAGCAAAAATGGCTACCCACTGCTCCGGGTGTGTGTTCACAGTGTGTGTGTTCACGGTGTGTGTGTTCACTTTGGATGGTAAGTCGCTTTGGATAAAAGCGTCTGCTAAATGTAAATGTAAACTAGGACACTGTGTTTTATGTACCTCTCTTCATAAATGTCTATTAACAATGTTTGTCACAATATTTTTTTTATCTTTTTATTTTTGGGCTTTTGGCAGTTTTTTTTTCTTTCTTTCCTGAGAACACACACTTGGTGTGAAAAACCCAGCACTGCTATTTCTGTGCTTTTCACTTGATTTGTTTGGAGATTAATCTGGCCTGTCTACCATCTCAGGTTGCTGCATGACCGTGAGCTGGCTCTGTATGACGGGACTCGACTACTGAGGTGGGACCGTTACCAGACTCTAAAAGACGAGCTACAGCTCACAGACCAGGAGCTGCAAGACAGGTAATATTGTAATCAAACAATTGCATGAATCTGCTCAACTCATGCTTAACCTAGCTTACTGTTGCAAAATGCACAGGTGTTTAAATTATATTCTGTTGTCTTCCGGTCATATTCAATGACTATAAATGCCAGTTTTTTGTTTGTTTTTTTATCATGGAACCAGACATTGTGACATTATCAAGAATGTATAAACATAGTAAAAGCAAATGTAAAGTTGTTTATTAAAGGGTTAGTTCACCCAAAAAATGCAAATTATTTCACTGTTTACTTCAAACGCAAAGTCTTTCAAGTTTTTTAAAATGTTTTATATTAGCTCATAATTTTTGTCCATACATTGAAAGCAATCCAGTCCAAGCAATCAAAACTTTCAAGCTTAAGAAAGTTCATAAAGACATCCATATGTCCATTAAAAATCCATATGAATCAAGCAGTTTTATTGAAGTCCTCTGTAGAGACACAATTGCTTTATATGATGATACTTGGTTTTGCTATCATTAAAATGCATTAATATAATTTATTTAATATATTTGGATTGTTCCCGTATCTCCATTTAAGTTGGATAAGCACATTATGGCCTTAGGACCGAGGTCTGAGGCTCTCGTTAAGTTATAAACGTTTTTATGTCCAGCTGAGGTAATGCTTTTAAGAAGCGTGCCGTTGTGATGAAGTACTTACGTGAGGCCAGTGTTCTGCTTAGTGTTTTAGAAATCCCAGCACCTATCATTTCTCATGAGATCTCCATCCATCCTTTGGTCTCAGTGCCAGCAGCAGTTGCAGAGTAACTGTTGCTGTGGCTCGGCTGTGCGCCGCGATCATGGAACAGAACGGGAATCTCACGCTAATCAACACCTGTATGTGTTCGTGGGGGAGATGTGAGAATTCAGCACATTCATAGCAGCCCTTCTTTATGAACTGTCTCTCAGCAGTCGGATGATTATGACCTTTCCAGTGTATCTCGATGACTTTATTAAACGGATATAGTTGTCTCAAACATTTAAATTCAAATTAAAGAAAGGCAGATACTATTTGCATTAGGTAAAAATAGCATGAATAAGTATTTTCTATGTAATAATTAGTAGTTAGATGCTATTCATACCTATTGCTAATAGTTGCAGATACAATCTGTATATTGTAGTACATTATGAAACGGTAAGCAGTAATACCATATTCAGTGTAAATATTGTATTTATTAAAATCATAAATGGATAAGGCCACCCTTCTCCCTGTTTCTAAAGCCCATCCCTACACCTACCCCTAACATTACCATATTACCCTGCTGACCAACATGAGGACACCACATCAAATTTCATTTGTAGACCTATGATATACCTGTTAACCACTTTATTGCCTCTATTAAATCCCCATTAGGCACTTTGTTTCCACTTTCTTTATTATGGAATTAGAGAAAGGCAGATTCAAACTCGGGTATATATTTAATATATATTGTGATAGATAGATAGATATCGTCATGGTAACACATAACACTCAAGTAATACAATACACATTCATTTAACAACATAAGATGTAACATAAAATATAATATACAATATTCTCTCTCTCTCTCTCTCTGTCTATATATATATATATATATATATATATATACACACACGCACACACACAACTGTAATGTACATAGTAGTAGTAATAATGGTAGTAATATTAATGCAATAAACATTCGTTTAACAACGTAAGATGTAACATAAAATAGAGCAGTATACAACTGTATACAACATAAATGAAAACTAAGAAACAATTATTTCAATGAAGAAAAAAATCAAATATGAGGTACCACCGAGAATTCAATTTCAAAAACTTGAAACTTGTACATTTAATAGTACTTTAATGTAAAATGACATATGTCCTTTTATATCTATTGCAGTTATTCGCCGTACATATTAATGGTACTTACTGTTAACCAATTAATAGGTTTTTACCATAGCATTTTAAAAATTACAATTATTTCTTTTTACAGCATTACAAAAGCAATGGGACATGAAAATTGAATTAATGTATTGTGTTTGGGATCATTTGTGGTAAATCGGGTCAACCCCCCAAAACTGAAAAGTCGTGTTTTTGCCAAATCTAAAAAAAAAAAAACGTAATCCTTAATAGACCGCATTATTAGATCATGTTGGACATTTATTTTAATATACTCTCAAGTTTTTATATAAGCAAGCTTTTAGTAAGACAGGTCCATGTGATATTATGAGCTTTGAGATCACTCAATAAGTCCATTTGTCACGTCCGGTTCTCCGTCTCATTTGACCTGAAGCAGCGCAGTCATGAACGCGCAATGAATACTGAATGTTCTGATGCCTCACACAAAGCCATATAGGAGGTGTTGATTAACCTACTGTGACGTCATCTCTGTAGAGAGACTCTGTCTCAGGACAACAAGGCTTGTGACAGCGAGTCCAGACCGAGCGTCCGTGTCTGCAAGAAACACTGAGTTACGATGAGATGCATTTCAGCCCATGACAATGGCTGCTTTCATCTCCAGACCACAATAACAGGAAACTGCCCACCAGACGGTCCAGCTCAATTTAATCCCAGGGCTGATTTTATAGGTTTTGTCAGTTAGCACCATCACACTCGCTGTGTATTTCGGTCTGTCTCTAATTGCCTTCAGATGTGTAATTTAAAAGTGGTTGAGAAATTTTATGCCACAGCATTTTGTTGCTATGGTGCATCATAATTTTTTTAAATGGAGAGTTAATAAGCTAACGTTTATAATAGTTCAAGTCTTGTTTTGTAATATAATAACACTGAGTATGACTGCTGAATTTGTTTACAGCGTTCAGTATTGTTTTAGCATTCTTGTGACTTTTTCAGATCTGGTTCCAGAGGCGTCATGCCCATTCAAAGTGATTCATTCAGATTTCTGAGCAAAGTGGATTTTAAATGCAGCTTCCAAAAGACAAAAAAATAGCCGAATAATATTTTTTATATTTGATACAATCACACCGGTGTGATTAGAACGTTCAGTGCGTCATATCATCAGCTGCTAAATTCAAATCTGCGTTCGTTGGCTGGTGCTGAGCCAGGTACAGACGCATTTATACAGCACTATTTCCTGATATAGTTAACACGTTTGGAAATATTTTGAATAAAAAGGGAAAAAATCCAATAAAACATAAGCCTATATCAGTTATAGTGCTTTTGTGGCTGCTGTGTCACATGACAAGCATGATGAGCCCCCCCCCCAGGGAGGAATTATTTCATTATTATTTTTATTTATATTTCATTTAGTTTAAATCGATGTACTAAAATACCTAAAAACTGAAATAAGAATGAATAAAAAATAGACAAAAAACTAATCTAAATGACAAACACGCACAACAAAATTATGAAAAATGTAACACAAATTTAAATGAAAATAAAAAAATACAACAATAAAAACTCATTTAAAAAATTGTATCTTATGCTAAAATAACACCAATCTGAAATAGTCTCTTAGACTTAATTTCCATATTTTGTCATTTTCTCTAGTATATTATGTGACGTAAAATTATTGTAATCTTAGCCACATCTTATCAGCACCTGATCAGTGAAATGACAAATCTGTGAGTGTCACGGTGAAGAAATCAGTGCTGTTGGATGTATATTTGTGTCCTGCTGGTGGAGCCCCACCTAGATGGGTAGGAAGGATGTTTGTGGTGGCGCGTCTGAGGTTGAAATAAAGTCACTTCCTCTTCCTGTGTTTCCAGCCGACGTCTCAGACTTCACTTGTGGTCTCTTCATGTGGTTCCAACACTGCTCTTAATTAGCGAGCCTGTGTTCCTGCCAGCCTCAGACTCACATACACACTTCTTACTGTACAGGCATATTAATGGCGCCTCTAAAAGTCACACTTTGCTCGGCTGCGTGGGCAGGGCTGCTGTCTCTGACCTTCTGAGGTCAACGCTGTGCTAGGGAGCAGAATATAGGTGCTCTCACAGAGTCAACTATTATTAGCATCTTGGTCTGTCTCTCTGTTTGTCTCTGTCTTTCTCAGCCTTATTGCATGCAATAAGGGATAATGTGTTGATTACTTGAACAGTTTAGTATCACAAAACATGATCTCTCATGTGTGCAAATTGTTGAAAACAATGCTTCACAACCAGGATTTAACATTTTGTGAAAGTAATGTCATTAAAATCCAATATTTATTTTGTTTTATTTAGTTTTTGATTGTTTTATTTATGCTTTTTTTGTGGCTATATATACAACTGTATAGATGTTAATTTTTGAAGAAGAAATTAATCCTTTATTATGCATGCACAGATGCATTAAATTGATCAAAAGTGGCAGTAAAGAAAAAAAATGATCACAAATGACACGGATATTAAGCAGTGCAATGATGGTAATAATAATGTTGTCATGCGGTCGTGGTTGTAGTAAGAGAGCGCACGAGGAAGGAGTAAACATAGGGATACTTTAATGAATATCAACACACAGTAACCGTTGAAAATAACATTAATCCAGGACAAAGGAATGACAGAAACTGAGGGCTTATAAAGGGCAGGCAACTAAGGAGCAAATGAGATGATTAATACAACACAGGTGGGAACTAATGAAAGATAACAGACTCAGAAAACACTAGTTTATTAGTAAATAACTCATATCTCCTTACTATTTCCCCCTGTCACATTTATGGTAATTACTTTTGCCGGTGCTTTATGGCAAACTTAAGCTTATTGCGCGCATTTGAATGCAGATCTCTTCAGCTGCGCTGACGGCATGCACCATACTGCTGCGGGCGGGACAATAAACACTGTCTCGTGTTGTTTCCACCAGCACGGCAATTTTTTCATCACTAATTGATGGATGTCTCAAATATAAAAATAAGGAGAAGCCTAAAATAGGCCAGAGGCCCGGCCCGTGTCTTAACCATGACGTGAAAATTGGCCTGAAGCCCGGCCCGAGGGGCGTAAAAAAGTCGGGACCCGTCGGGCCCAGGCTGAAATGCAGGGCTGTATTCTGGAGGGCGCTCTGGAGTAGCGGGCACTTGAGGGCGCTCT